GTAAAACTGGAAAGGATTTGAAGGTTTTATGGGTGAGGATTTAAACCTGAAGGAAACAAATGTCATTTTGAAATAAATCACTTCACCTTCCTGGGATATATAATCAATAAGAATGTCTCAGACCTCCAGACTGGACATTATAAAAGACCTGGAAGGTTTGGCTTAAATTGGGGTAGGTATCATGGTTTGTAAGCTTGTGAAGAGTCTACATGAGGTATGTACTTAATTTCAGAGCCTGCATGCAATTATGCCATCGAAGAAAAAGTGACTTTGGACATCGTTTGCATCACTTCCAGTGCACCATATAATCTAGGCTGTCCTGACAGAACATGTTGCACATATGCATCTTTTGTTACAGTGCCAGCTGGCACTTAAGTATTCATTTCTTTCCCTATGAGATCATTTTTCGACTCTGGCAGCACAGGCTTCTTTGTGACTTGATGTTCAGGCAGTAAGAATTGGCAAATCCCTGTGCATTTACACACACAGGTGATACAACCGAGTCTTCTCTCAGTGACCTCAGGGCAACATTTCCAGCAGTGGAAGAATAGATGACACACAAAAGTGAGCCAGCTAGGCACAAGGTACCCAGGTAAAGGAAAATTACATGCTCATAGAGGAAGGAGGGAATGTGTAGCAATGCAGCTGAAAAAAGCAACCAAGAAAATTTGAAAGGGGTGTAGTCTGAATGCTTGAACCTCCAAGGAAGAAAATGGAGATAGGGAGAGAGAACCCCAGCTACTCCAATTCTGAAAAGGAAAGTTTATAAGATTATCTACATCAAAGTAATTAATTTTGTAATATGTTGTGTTAAATCAATATTTTATCAGAAAAGATAAAAACCATAGTCATAATCTTGAAACTCTCGTAACACCAGAAAATGTAACAGAAATCCAAGTTTTAAGATGTTCTTCAGATGTATGTTTCCAGTTTAAACTGCAGTTGACTGGTATGGTTCCACATCTGTTGCAAACCAGCTGTCAGCTTACAGAGAGATTATTGAAGTTGTTACAGAAATATCTTTGTTCACTCGGTCAGACTGAGCATCAGCTGTTTTCCACCGTGGTAAAGTTGATAAAAAATATTTTTTGTTCAAAGCAACCAGTGCTGTAAATAAGTATAATTTCTAAGTTGTGCATCATATTAACATATGGCTTTGATTCACAATCGGACAGCTGCTGTTCAGGTAGTACAGAATTTTATAGGAACACAAGACTGATGGGGAAACATATATATGGAAATAGTAGAGACAGTATGTAAAAAAAATCATGTCATAACAAAAGATAGCATTGCACTTGTATTTTGCAAGAGTTCAAACAAAATGTTTTGGGGGAGAATCAAGCTTCCACTCAGAATATCTTGTCCTTAATGCGCTCTTTAATGAATGATGAATGTCTTTCATTCTTGATCTGGAAAATCTGTCATTGAAAACCTGTTGAAAAAGATTGTATATATTGTTCACATTCATATTATATTATTTCAGGTATCCAGATTGTAGCTGTATTGGTCTAGAGGCATAAGGAATTAAAACTTGTGGTAGAGGTGATATCTTTTATTAGACCAACTAGATTTTTGCAAAATTAAAGAAATTAAAGAATTAAAGAAATTTTTTTTGCAAAAATCTAGTTGATCTAATAAAAGATATCACCTCTATTACATTATTTGGCTTTTTCTGGTTTGGTTCTTTCTATCCTGTATAACTGAATCTGGTCTCGTTTTTTGAGGACTAGTGAAGATTAGAAGACTGGGAAGTAATTCAGAGGTCTCCAGGGCTGTAGGTTGTAGCCATGTTGGTCTAAGGACATAGGCAGACAAGCTTCTTTGGCTGAATCTGATATCTTTTATTAGACGAACTTAAATAGCTGGAAAACAATTCTTAAGCAAGCTTTCGGGTTCAAAAACCCTTCATCAGGCTAAGGAAGTTTCAGCAGTTGGTGTGTGCTCTTCCTGAATGGAATGAGAAGTAAAAAAAGCCAGAGGCTGGGCTGGTATGCATACAAGACAGGTAGTTAGTGAAAATGTAGATTGAGGAATCAATGGGTGAGAGAGGCTGTGGGGGGGCGGGGGCAGGAAGAGAGTGAAGGGAGATGAATAGTGAAGAGATACCTAGGGAGTCAGATGTCAGGTAGGTTATAATGTGTCATAAATCCAATGTCTATATTTAGTCCATGATTTTTAGTATCCAGGAGGTTGGTGAAGTAGAGTTCATAGGCTTGTCTCTGGGAAGTGTTTTGTAAGTTTCTTTTGAGGATCAGGATTGAGAGATTGGAGAGAGAGTGGTTTTCTTGTGAGAAATGTGCCCCCACAGGGAATTGGGTATTTCTGTCTTTGATAGGTTTCTGGTGTGCATTCATTTGGGTGCGCAGTTGTTGTTTGGTCTCTCCTACGTATCTTCTATCTGGGCATTTGGTGCCTTGGATGAGCTATATTACATTTCTGGAGGTGCAGCTGTAAGATCCAGGAATGCTGATGGCTCTGTTGTGGGGTGTAGTAATTGTAGGCGTGGTGGAGATGTGTTGGCAGGTTTTGCATAAGCTGCCTGACATTTGACTCCCTAGGTATCTCTTCACTATTCATCCCCCTTCACTCTCTTCCCGCCCCCCACCCCCCCAGCCTGTCTCACCCATTGACTCCTCAATCTACATTTTCCCTGACTGCCTGTCTTGTATGCATACCAGCCCAGCCTCTGGCTTCTTTACTTTTCATTGCATCCAGGAAGAGCACACACCAACTGCTGAAACTTCCTTAGCCTGAAAAAGGGGTTTTGAACCCGAAAGCTTGCTTAAGAATTGTTTTCCAACTATTTAAGTTCGTCTAATAAAAGATATCAGATTCACCCAAAGAACCTTGTCTGTCAAAGGTCTCCTAAATGTTCATGTATCTGATCTGAGGTATGTGCTGTTTTACAAAGATAGCTCATTTATGACTTATGTTATGCCAGGCACTGAAAGGGTAGCCCTAATCTGAGCTATACATTTGTAATGTTTATGGCTTTAAAATAAGAGCACAAAGACAGTATCCATTTCATATAGGCCACTAAGGTATTTTTTTTAAATTGTAGCTTTCTCCCTTCTCTGTTATGAAAATGCTAAACATGTTTAAGCATTGAAAGTTCTGAAATATTGAAAAAGACAGTTGCTGCATGATTGTACTTGCCAGTTCATCCAAGAAATCTATCATTCAAGTTACTGAAAAGAGTTAAACATGTTTCTCTTTATGTAAACTTTAAACAGTTCCTTAGAAAGAGAAACTAACTGAAAGGATATAATAGTTGCCTATCTCAAGGCTGTCCAACTGGTGGCCCATGCAGTCCCCCAGGCGTTCATAGATTGTTAGGGGCTGGAAGGGACCTCACAAGAT